GATAGAAGCAAGAACATCGTGCGAAGATTTAAGTCTCTCCCGAGTAGAAGTTCTACTAATATGGTAGATGGAAAAGACGTGATTTCACACGTATATAAATACTATAAACAGGATTTATTAGGCTAAGGCGTAATTATAAATCCAGCACGTAAGACTTTAAATGTAGGTATAATTCGCGAGAGCTATGATAGCGCGCAGTTAAGAGTTACGCTTTCGAAGTAAGGGGGGCATGTAAAGTGTAAGACTGTGGACCGCAAGGTATTCCCTAGCACGCATGCCTGTAGCCTCGCGACATTGCGCGTTCCGCACTTTGTCAATCATCACAGTATACAGCGACCGCAAGAAAGCCACGCGCGAGAGCTATATAATACTAACACCAGGCTGTGGTGGAATGTAATCTGATTATACATTACTGACGCCAATTCAAATTCAGTAACGAATTCTTTCCCACAATCGTGAACTGTTACTAATGTACTTACTAATTGATACTAATAGTTACTAATGTAATTATGTGTTATAATTACAGCTAGTCTTAACCCTTTACGATCGGCACATTTTTTTGCTGACAGGACCAATTAGTCGAAGCAAATATATATATTTTCGAAGTTATTTTTCTGTAGGTGGTTTATAATAAATATATAGATATTAAAAATTTGTTGAAGTTAATGTGTTTTGTTGAATATAAATTCTGTAAAGAATAATAAATACAATATCTCTCGATCGTAAAATAACACTGCACTCTGAAAAAGAAAACATGCCGCCATATTGGCGACGCCGATTTCGAAAACAAACATTAACTGTCGTCACTGTGGCGGCACCGATCGCAAAGGGTTAATTATCAACCACAACGACACTTTAATCGACATCTTAACACGTTCGCTACCAGCGCTTGTTTCGGTGATGGTCATGAAACTGAAACGAGTCATTGCGTTCCTAAATATAATGTCGTAGTTTATAATTTCTAATAACAGTATCTATAGGATTAATTTCATTTTCATTATGTAAAATATAGGATTAAGGCCGTCACAAATATGTGACGCTGGTAGCGAACGTGTTAATACGTAATCGAAATATATTTTACCTGACTTTGATATACAGTAATAGTTAATAAAGACGATTAATACTGATCTTGAAAAAGAATTGTTAGTTTTACTTATTTTAGAGTGTTACGTAAATACGACAATAAAGTATAATTCTTTGGCATAAGTACAGTTCACGTTGAAAAGTGAATCGGTGAGTTACTCCGGGAAGAAGCTTCTAATGATACTTTCAACGAACGATAATTTAAATTACTTTACATTCTATATCAATGATTTTATTCTGGAATGAGTTACACAGCTTGCTAAACGAAAATATCTTAAAATTTTAGAAGTACTGCCGTCTAAACAAGATTTACGTCCATGGCGAAATTTCTCATTCGAAACACAGCAGGTTTCTTTTAAATCATTTTTTATCATAACGAATAATTTGGAAGACTATTGTATGTAAATATTAAAGCGAAATATCTTGTAAATTAGTTTTTGATCTAAGTAAACCAAATATAGCATCTCTTTCTACAAAGTTAGTTTGACCTTGAAATCTCTTTCTCACCGCGTAACTTACGGAGAAACTATACTGTATCATGTTTCTACCCATGCTAACGTGTTTTCCTAATCCACAATTTGTAATTTGTAATTTGTAATTTGTAATTTGTAATTTGTAATTTGTAATTTGTAATTTGTAATCTGTAAACTCTTAATCATTTGAGAAGTTTACTTGCAAGAGGTTATTTTTGACAGATTTTCTTGTACAGAAGATTTTATATTGAATTCTGTTTTTACACACCAAGTTCTGTTTAAGGAAAATTCGTATAAAAAAATATACTGTACCCATAGAAAAATAAAGATTATTTCCAGACCTACAAAAGCAGCAAAATAATACAATATTCCATATGAAAATTCATGTTAGGATTTATGTAATTGTGTTAAATCAAATTAAATTGTGAAGAAAGAAAATAATTTTTTTCCTAATTTATGTTAAATCAAAATCGTGTAAAAACAGGTTTGGGTTTATTATTGGGCCATCCGACAAGTAATGTTGTTTCTAATTTCCAACTCTATCTTTCAATGCAAAGATTAATATTTACGTTTATTTTTAATTTTGGTATGTGCCCATTTTTCAACTTATTTTTTTATTCTATTTTTAAATAATTATTAACACTTCAAACTATAAAAAATTCGTTCATCGCAGATTGCGTGTGTTCCCTGTTACGGAATTTTTTACCAATTAACCGATCTTGTATAGCTCGAAATAGATGGTAATGTATGAAAATATATGCAATGTCCGGCGATTATATTTGACGTGGTAAATATATGTTACGAACTAAAAGTTTTAATTTTTTTGAAGATTATTTTTGATTGCATGTGGTTTCGCATTATTACGGTGGAACAAAATTCCTTTCCAATTCATTAACAGCGGTCGCTTTTCTTCTAAAGTAGATTATAAACGTTCCAGTCATTCAGTACAGTCTCCTATTATAACCTGGTTTTCATTACATGTTCATAATAAATTAAGCCCCTAATATACAACGAACAGGTTCTGGTTTAGAGCAAGGTCGATGAAATTCATCAAATGATAATAACTGCCATTTGTATTTAAATTAACGTATAAAATCCACTTTTCGTTTTCAGTAATCATTTAACCGAGTAAACGATTATTTTTTTTGCTATTCTCAAAGTGACACGCAAGTATTCATTCTCTGAATATACAGTTTGCCAATGACAAGTTATACGGGACCTATCTGCCACGTTTGAAATTGTCCCTATTTCGTGCAAATGTCGATGTACGGTACCACTACTACCTAACTTTTCTGCTGCTTCCTGAGTAATCGAACGAAATTTTGCTTCCATTACAATCTTTAACACGTTGGTCAGTCAATCGGTACTCATCAAATCACTGATACAATCAAAACAATTGTTCAAACAGAAAATTAAGAAAGAATAAGGTGTAAAATACAAAAAAATTCTTACAATCACAGTAGAGAAAAGTGACACGAACGTTTATATAAAGTAAGATAAGGAGGAATATATGAGATGACCTAATATTGCCACTTCTATAGAATTTGGCACAAATATTTATAAATATATCTATATTTACCAATTTAAAAACGTTCAGAATAAATAATTTTTAATAATACGGATATCAAATGATTACAAAAATATTAAAACTTTCTGAGGACTACGGTTTTCTGTAAAACTACGAATTCTTGTCTGTATTTTATGCTCAAATGCCTTTTCAACCTATAGATATTATAGATCCATGTTAGAACTTTATTTCTACACCAAATGTAATCAAAATCAGAGCGTATCAATTATCAAGCGATATTCTTGTAAGTGAAACTTTACGCGTATCCACTCATAATAGTGATTCACGCAACTGTAACAATCCGACTGTAACATACCTTCTTCATAGTAGAAGTTAAAACAAAAAGTTACAGGGCAAAAATTAATGTTTCAAGATTCTGTATATACTCAAAATGTGCTTATAGCGAGATCTTGAATCGTTCATTTTAATTCTGCAATCATTTTTTCAAACTTCAACTAGAAAAGGGATATGATTTGCAGCAGACGCGAACATATTTACGTTTTCCGCATTCTGAAGATGTGGTAACATACTAAATATCTACAGTAATGCTCGCTTAAATTCTATAGATATCTGCTCGGTTAAATTCCACAGCACCAGCTTTACTCTTCCCCCACTACTCATTGTCTCGAGCTCAATTTAACCCCTTCGGTCACGAATTATTTTTTCCCGAGTCTACTTGAATGCGCATCTTTAGTTTTATTTTGTGATAACACAATTTGATAAGAGAGGTCGAGACCATTGTCAAATAGAATCAATGGTTGTAATAATATGAGGACAGACAGCGTTTATAAACAATCAAATTTACCGAATTTAGATACACCAAGCATTTATTTAGTATATCCTTATATGAGGGCGCCATGACCGAAAGGGTTAACATGATTCCAGTGGACAGGAACGGAAAATGGATACAATAAGCAGAAACGGAATAGACGTAATCCGTCGAGCATTGAGGGTCGAGGAGCGGGACTTCAAAGTAACGCCGCAGGCGACAAATATACACATGCAATGAAGAAAACTTCAATTGCAGTAATTTTAACGTTACCTTCTCAAATGTAGTACCAATGGAATGTCGAGGTTCTCGTTAAAATGAGTCCAAGCACGACGTAAATCGGTCTAGTTTTATCGATGTGGGGCAAATGAATATTTAACATCGTTAATTACTTTAAGTCGGTAAAACTAGTCCGATTTCCATCGTGTTTGGACTCAGTTTAATCACAACAATCTCAGAAATTCATTGGCGCTGTATTTGAGAAAGTAAAATTACTGCAACTGAAATTTTCGTTGCATGTTTATATTTAACGTGCGGCATCAGTTTGAAGTCCTCCGATTCGACCTTCGATTTTCAGCGGACTGTGTCTATTCCACTTCCACTCATTATTCGATTCTCTGTATTTGTCAGGCTGTGCTCGAGTCAGGTTCTGGGAGGAAATAGCTTCCTCCTGTTTTTTCTGTTCGGCTAAATTCCACTGCTGGGACCCGAAATTGTGGAATTTAACACGTTAAATGATACCGCACGATTTCACATAGTAAAATACACAAACGGAGAAAAATAAAATATTAAATCATTTGATCGAATTGCATTCTTATTATTGCACGTTCATCTAGCTGAGTGTCGCCGCATTAGAAAGCATTATTTGTAATACAGAAATATTTTCAACTAATAAAATTAGAAAAGCGTAATTCAGGTTATGAACTGAAACGAAAGAAGCGCGATCGCGCTGCTTGACACTTTTCGACCGGGTTTTTGCAAAGACCCGTGGCACTCAAACGGTTAAGGAAACCTTTCTTTCGATTGAAATGTCATTATTCCAAATAAATATGAACGGGGACATAAGTATTGTTTTCGTGATCTAAAATAACTTGACAAAGACAAGAAAGTCAGCTCGACAGGCCGAAATGTTCGATTTGTTTTCGCGTGTCGTCAGGTGAATCGAGTAGCCTGCCAGCGTAGACGAAGGTCTTCACGGTATTAAATGTGCAATTTAAAGGTACTGGTTTCGAATTATTTTCTATTACCGTTGTTGTTATTGTTACAATGATACGTTGATAATAGATACGCTTCAAATTTTAACGATCTTCAGATTATCCCAAACTTTTTGATCAAGTATTTATTTCAAGTGATTCCGGTCGGCATTGTTCATCCTCCGAAAATCATCGATTCACTATCATTCACTCATATTAACGTTTCTTATGCTCCGCGTTTGATATCTTTGATTAACTCCACGGAAAAATCCAATCAAATAAAATTAAAAAAGTGAAAGTTCTAATTAAATTCTCCTGTATATTTATATTTACGATTCTTTGCATTTCAGCAAACCACTTCTAAATGGTTCCTGATTTAATAATACTTCAGGTTTCTAATTAACATTTCCGACGATTCTTCCCAATTCACTCCCAAATCCGGAGAACGATGTAATTATTGCATATTTATGTGGTATAGCTTCTTTCCTTATGGGTGCATATGTTCCACAGAATTTTTACACCTGTTTTGGATCGTTATTTTTAAATGCAGTATATATTTACTTCTGTGTCATAGAGTATTTCGAGAATATCTTTATTTATCAAAACTGAAGATACTATGTGTATTACTTAAAATTCAAAGTGTATATTTATCCTTCTATTTTCGGTATAATTCAGTAAACATTAACTACTAATATATCATTAATGATTAATATTATTCGACTTCTTTAAAACATTACACAGAAAGATTGGCTTAGGTACAATCTCAAGATGATTCATCGACGACAAACTGCACAAACCAATTCGTAGACATCAGAGATCTCGCGAATAAACCTAACGTGTCCTAATGTATACGGTGTTTACGAAAAGACTTGTGCATAAAACTGAAATTTCATTTGTACAAATATAATATTTGTAAATATTCGTTTTCCACTGAGTTTTCTGTGTATAATTTAAAATGTTTGTGCAATTTGCGAAGTGAACGTTGAAAATCTTCAAGATACCAGTAAGCAATATTCGTCAGCATTTCTGATCGGTGAACTGAAATAATTTCGTAACTTTTTCATTGCATGCCGATTTTCAATCGAGAAAAAGGAAAAAAGTGTACAGGAATCAAATCCAGTGAATACGGGACGCTTGTAACTTAACGTTCCATTGAAAATCGCGTTACGTTAATGCGTTCAATGATGCAGCACTTGCATTGCCTGAATAACTTAAAATCGTTTTGGAGCATTATGAACGTACGTTTTTATTTCGTTGTGCAACAGCAACTCGAAGTATCCAAACAGTGCGAAGAAACGAGTACGAAATAATCATTCATAAATGAACACCTTGAGAATCGGTATAGCAGTTTTGCGTCATTTTAAATTATTTAACTGAATACCGATAACCTCTCGTCATTTTTAATTTTTTTACAAGAATAGCTATAACGTTGTTTTACGTCATTGCGCAATCTGTAACTGAGTATTGACAACATAGTCTTATATATTTTTTATATCCATACAGATTGAAATAGTAGATTTCTTAAGACATTGTACGGCGGCTGAATTTCAGCTACTGGAAACGCGAGTGTCAGTGATTATGTTGATCTATTTTTAAACATCAATCAAACCGAAATTTGTAACTTACGAAAAAGAATAAGGAATTCGATTTTGTAATTTTATTTTGGATTTGTGTTATACATATCTAAAATGTTACATTAATGTAGGACTAGCAATTCAACGATAGGCTAAAAATCCCGCGATTACGCGGTACCGGCGTACAATGCGTTAAGTGATATAAACGAAGCGTTCAAGAATTTGATGAAGTAAATTCACATAATTGTTTATTCTTGACTCTCACAAGAGAAGATTCGTTGTACGTGTCGCGTCGAAACGCTGCCAAGTCCGCGGAGATGGCAACTGCATCGAGAAATTGGAAGCCACGCAAGGAACGTATTGGAAAGCTGTTCTCGAGAATGCCCGCTGGCCTACTGACGAACGAGAGAAAGGAACTGATGTGGAGGAAATACGAGATAGCATCACAGAAAATAGCTGTGACCGCGTTATGAAATCGCAAGAGAGTTTTCAGGTTGACGAGTAATCTCTATATTTATTGTATTCACCTGTCTTGCTGTTATAATTTAATAATGGATTATTACGTAAATTAATAGTTGTAGTATAAGAATTGATGTACAAAACTAGAAGTACATTGGAAACTAATATTTCACTTGTCGTATTTCATTCAATTTCGCTGTTGTCTTTATGTCATTGTTGTCTTTACGTCATTTGCAGACTCCCGTTGGCTACAAATACATGCAACATCGTTTTTCCATTTTCACTTTATAATTAAGCTGAAAATGTTTATGGCTTTCAGAAGTGTGATACAAATTGGTGAAAACAATCATTTATAATAGATTCAATCATATAAACAATCATATTATAAATAGGAATCTATTATTTCTATTAAAATATTTTTCTATGCTGCCTCAAAAGATGTTAAGAAAATTGAACTCTTTTTCTTATAATATTTTGTAAGTATTTAAAGTGTCCAAAAGGTAGACATTTAAAAGGTATACATTTTCATTTAAAACTTGATAAAACATACAAAATACGTTAATTTGAATAAAATTACACACGTTATAAAGATCGTGACGTTCAGAACTCAGATTGAACGATTTACGCATGTATATCGTATATTATGATATATTTCTAAATTTTATAGAAAATTCATGAAAGATAAAATTCTATTATATACGACAGCGCAACTAACATCTTAAAAATATCAGCTTCAGAAATTAAAATGTTATTAAAATTGCTACATTTTTAACATTATCGCAATTTGTAGAGGCCTTACTGAAATTTATCAAGCGTATTAATTACTGCGTTATGTCATTTACAATTATATTTCCAAGAAGAAAGGCAATCCATTCTCTTCGTGACACAAGCGTCAACACAAGCTTAGGTACGGATCAACAACAGAAACAGAAATAAGATGTTTCTCGAATATCAAGTAGTTTAAAATAGGAGCCTGAAACTAAATGATTCACTAGATATATCGTTCTCTTGCTGGATCGGGAACACAATCCCAAATTTTGTATTTTTCGGAAGAAACGAAGAACTGATTTTGAATGTAAATAAACACCATTGCGAGAGAAAGAGTTATGAACCTAAAAAATAGTGTTCTCTTTTATTAACACTATATTTACGGACATTTATTCTTCACTTTGTTCTATTGGCGCTAGAAAACTATGTGTTTATTTGTATAGATCGCGAAAATTATAGCTTCAAAATTAGAATTTACGAAAGAAAATAAGGAAAATCAGTTCGTGACCTTGAGCTTGGAAGCAAAAAAATGATTTGAAGTAGTTTCGTATAAATTATAGAAAAGTATTTAACGATGATCCAAGCTTGTTAGTGTTAATGCTAACTTTCCGCATTTGTTTCCAGTGACAATAATTTAACCCGTTCGCTACCAGCGTCACATATTTGTGACGACCGTAATCCTATATTTTACATAATGAAAATGAAATTAATCCTATAGATATTGTTATTAGAAATGATAAACTACGACATTATATTTAGGAACTCAATGACTCGTATCAGTTTCATTTTTTTAATATTTTATTTAAAAGATTTATTGGATTGAAGAAAATATTATAATTGAGCAGACCGTTTTTCTAATATTTTGTTTAGAAGATTTGTTGGATTGAAAAAAATATTATAATTGAGAGGATCGTCACCGAAATAAGCGCTGGTAGTAAACGTGTTAAGCTCGGTCCAGATATGAACCATATCACATCACACACACTGTTTTGTAACAAGATAGCGTGCATCCAGACAACACAGTGAACTTCATTCTGCAATCCCGCCGTAAACATCGATATCTTCCATCGGCAGCCGATTTCTACCGTTTTCACCACATCGCATCAAAGAGATGTACGACGACATTGCGGAAGGAAGAACATATGCGAACGTTATCTGGAGAATACAAATATGCGGGACGCTGCAATGTTATTGCAATTTTATTACGTAAAAAGATTCAGCGCAGTGAAAGCTTTAGTCTTGCAATTTTATTGCGTATTATCATTGAAAAATCCAATCCTGTTACAAAACGGCATCCGTGACGAAATTTAATAAACATTTGGATAGATGTTTTACAAAGAGCACTTCAGGACTCAATCCAAATTTTCAATAATATTTGCTATTTGGATGAATTGATATAAAATACTAAAAAATCATAAAAAATACATATAGTTCCATCTAAAAACGAAACTTGGTACCATGCAACAAATTATTATTAATACGAAAAATGTTGTGTTCCCTTGCTCCACGTATGTGATTCCACTTTATGATTAACACATTTGCATCATTAACACTAAAACTACTAAATGGGTCAAAATGATCAATTCCTAATTTCTTCTTTTAGAATTACTGCAAAGGTACAGATACTTCTTTAAGAAATGATTGAAGACGCTGATTTAGCAATACGTAAACTGAAATATAAGCTAACTGAAATCTTAATAAATCCACGCTTATAGCTTTCATAAAGAAATGTTCAGAAAACAGTTCAAATGCTCGGTAGTTCTAGTGTTAAACGGAATAATTCGCAAACAATTGCTTATTGCCAAGGGCGGAATATTCAATTACTTTTAGTTATTTAACGGATTAATTCCAATGAAAAGCTTAAAAGACTTTCAGTTAGGCATCTTTGATTCACAAAGTAAGCTTCACATTTAAAGCGAAGATGCAAATACATACTCTACTAATTTCATTGTACGAACTATGGTAGGTACGTTTAATCTTTTCTATTTGAGCAGATCTGAGATACAGTCACTTAACCCATTCGAGACCAATTACACGTCAGGTGTGTAATGATCATGAATATCTATTATCAGTTAGTAGTCAAAAACTAACTTAATTTACTGGTTAATAGTGTTTTAGTCAAGACTCCAAAAAGAGTAACTCTCAATCAAGATCGTCGGGATTACAAAAAACGAGCAGTAATGGTGAAAGTGATGATTTCGAATCTTGCCTCCCAGAGACAGTCTTTAAAAAAAAATATCGAGATCTTGAATGGCTTAACGAAGATCTTAAAGTTTCTGCCTATATATCTAGATGTTGCGTGTGATTTACTTTCACAATTCATTCTCATCATCTCGAGTGGTACTTCAAGCAATATACTCTCGTAAAATCGTGGATTTAAAAAAAGACAAGCGTCTGAACTCCATTAACCACAAGGACATAAGGTTTACTAACGGTTTGATAGAAGTGTACGAGAATTCAAAAACGATTGAGTTCGCAAAAGTATCTCGCAAAATAAAAATATTGATTTATCTGAGATTTACAAAACTTAAATCACGTCCGGGAATAAATTTTGTTTACTTTGAAAGTATGACCATCAATTAAAGCCGACTATAAAATTTACGTAGTGCGTTCCAATACTAGATTACTTATCAGCGTTATGTAGGCCGTACGTATTAAATGCAAATTAAATGCACGCGATACCCTAATTTAAGCACTTACATATTTCCAAGAAAAAATTTGCATTTCACACTTTTTCGATTGTTTTTTCGAGATTATTACAATTTCACTACCGTTAGCAATACACTACGTTTCTGATACAACTAATCAGTGAATGATTCCAGTTTTGTTGGTGATAATATTATTTCAACGACAAGGACAAGATTATTACCACAGAATGTAGAACAGTTATTTTACATTTCTCTTTCATACTTTATATTTCCATACAATATAAATATATATGTAAAAGTTTAAAATGGATTAATGAAAAAGCAATATCAGTTTGCATATTCAAGTCATATTTAAGTCGTATTCAAGAAATTCCATGAAATAAACTCATGAGATACCTTTCGTAACACAACCTAATCATTTTCGAATTTTTGTACACCATACATTTATATGTTCTGTTAACCACTTGTCTAGCCTAATGAATATACAAAATTTTTTCATGAATAAAAATAACCTTAAATTATGTTAAACACGAACAGTAAAGATAAATCTGATCGATTCATTCTATCTATTTCCACTTTCTCCAAATCCGTTACGTACGTATTTGTAGATTATTATTTGTGATCATCGATCACTTAAGTCTCTACTCTTTTGTACCCAATATTCATCGAACATCTATTTCGCATAATTTTAATTAGATTAATTTTACTTAGTCGGAATATGCAACTATTATTAAAATATTAAAATATTACTAAAACCGATTTTAAACGATTCCATGGTTTATTTCATATTCATTATTATTAGGAAAATTTTACCAGTTATGAACCGTTGATAATAAATTATGGGGAAAAACTTAAGATTTAATTTTTTCTTCGCGGATTACCTATATAATTTATTGCGTGTTCACCAACTGTATTAATCTGATGAATAATTATAAACAAGTATAATTGATCTAGCAAGTGACTACCGATATCATACGTACTATAAAATACGAATCAGAAAATCTGCAACTGAGAATGGTCGCATTTACTCGTAAACTTTATAAAACGGTCCAGTAGAAAAAGAATTTAATTTTGTTGTATTACGTAGTAGATACTAATAATAGCTAATAATTGTTAATGACAAAACAACTGCGAGCAATTAATTTTTCCAAAATTAACCAAGACTTATTATTTTATTGTTATTTTATTACCTTTTTGAAATCTGTACCACGAAGTCTTGTTAGAATCTATAAAATTTAATTATTTCCGTTCTAATCGAAAATCAGCGATTTACAAATCAATATGATAACAGAAAAATGCTTAATATATTATACTTCTTTGTGGGCCTTCTAACGTTATCATTCGTATGTTTTCATAAGGTAAAATGTTTTAAAAACTTTATAATAATAACAAAATAAATAAAATCACGTTTTATTTCAATGTCTACAACTTAGCCGGTTAAGATATAAAGAATTATATTCAGATAAGTATTTAGAGTTTATCAAGCATCATCATATTACTAATTTCATATATTTATGAAGTATACGAATTTAGGGTAATAAGAAATTTTGATAAATTTTAAATAGATTTCACTTAACTTGAAACTTGATAGATCCTTTAATAGAATAAGCAAATTTCTGATAGACAGTTAACTGGCTTTTGTCTATTAGTCCACAGAAATTTATATTTATATTACGGTTATTAAAATTTAGATACCTATATCTGGGCATTTTTAATCTTCCCGTGAGTTTCGATTTGTGGAATTGCTACTGAAAATTGTACACCAACTGGCAACGAGAATCTAACCGTATTTATTTTATGAAGAATGCATGCGATCAAATTAACAAAATTAAACACGCCCGAATG